ATTATGTCAAAGTCCCGCATATCTAAGATAGTTAAGTCTACAAGCAATTTCCTGTCATCTATACTAACCACACGAGATTTTCAAATTAAGTCAGCAACCATAACACCTCCTATCGGGGTTTCAACACATAAGTCGATCTCTCTAGAGACACATTTCCATCCATGTTTCTCAACAAATCCCATAGACACAAATGAATTTGTAGCGCCAGAATCAAACAACACATGTGCATAAACAGAAGACACTAAAACAGTACCTGACACCACCGTGTTGGAAGTCTGAACATCTTGTTGTGTGAGTGCGTATACTCGACCCTGAGTCTTTGGCTTATGACCTCCATTTTTCTTTTGATTTCCTGAAGACCCTCTGTCTGTTAATGTTCCTTTATTTGTCCATGCTTTCTGTTCAGTCTCACGTCCCTTCCGGTTAGGGCAATCAGCTATCCTGTGCCCCTGTTACCCACAAGAGAAACAAGCCCCAGTATTCCAGCGACACTCACTATCCTGATGGAACCCATTACATCTAGTGCACTGTATTTGATCATTCTTCTTATCAACACTGCCACATATAGTTCAACTTCCCCAACTCCCAACTAAAGAAGTGTTTTGTCTCTTAGCATTGCCCTTCGAACTAGGTCTCTTCTTATAATTCTCTTCTTTCTCTTCTTGGGCTCTAGTGAGGCCACTCTCAACCAACAATGCCTTATTCAACACTGCTCCAAAAGTAGGTAACTCGAAAGGAACCACCTGTTGCATAATGTTCGTTCTTAGCCCACCTTCGAACTTTCGTGCTCTACTATCCTCGTCTACTTCAAATGCTGATGCAAATTTAGACAACTTCGTAAACTCGACTTCATATTCTGCAACTGTCTTATTCCCTTGCTCTAACTTCAAAAATTCCCTCTGTTTTTGTAAACGAACACTCCTAGGGAAGTATTTCTCATTGAATGCATTCTTAAACCTTTCCCATGTATAGGGGTTGGCATCATGCTCTTGTATGCACTTCTCCATCTGTCACCAATCATTAGCTATCCCTTGTAGCATAAACGTAGCATAGGTCACCTTCTGATCATCCGTACACTCAAAAACGGGAAACAACTTTTCCATTTCTGTCAACCATTTTTCAGCCTCCAAGGATCTGTGGCTCTATCAAATGCCAAGGCTATCTTCTTAAACTCAGTAATGTTACAACATGGCCTTGGTTGTGGCCTAACACCAGGCTACATCCGCTGTTGTTGCTCCATAAGTCTAGTCAAGTTATTCCCTATGGTGGTTTGTTGTTGCACCACGCCGGCCAAAGTCTGAAGCACTTGAACCATTCCAACTGGATTGGGGATTGCAGCTTGTTCTTGTTGTCCCAACTTTTGCCCCTGATTTCCTTCGACTGCTTCAAAACCACTACCATTATTAGTCACATTCTCTCGCCGATTGTTATTACCAGTCCGTCGATTCATTTGACCCTGGCGTGTATTCCTAGCCATATTTGCCAATGTCTCCTCATGTTCTATTGCAACCTAAATGCATCAATAATAAAACCTCATCTTATTCTATTCTCAAGTCCTTATAACATGTAAATAAAATTAACATTATATCAAATTATAAGCGTTGCCAATCCTACATCTCACCACTATTCTATACTAGTCTTTAAAATTACAACCTGGCTCTGATACCACAAAATTGTCACGCTCCAAGCTCCGTGACAACGCCACACACTCATTTATGTGAGCATGCAAGGCTAAAAGTTCAACACATAACCAACAATGTAAAATACTTAAATTAAATCTTTAATTATCATAATGCTAAAATCCATAAAAATAGATAATTCTTATCATATGAAATTGTCCACCAAGTCCACTAATATAATCCCTTAACAAAATAATAAACCAAGTACTAAAATCATAGTTCTACTCTAGGCACTCCCATAAGTAAAAACCCCACGCAGCTCTACTCTTCAGAATCTGAAAAAAATAAATAAAATAAGGGTAATCTAGACAGCCTAGTAAATAATCAACCATCACTGCTAGCTGGATCAAGTATACAAAAAAAAATAAATAAATAAACAAATAAATCGATACCCAATAAATATAATTTTTGCTACAATTCAATAAATGAATAATTATTTGTAGGATGGTTTCATAGCTAAAAATACACAATGTACAATACATTTTAAATGAAAAGCCAACAAGATAATTCAAAGTAATTCGTTGTTCAAATCGATGGTTCGATATTCAAATAGTTCAATGATTTGATTCAAAAAACCAAAGTCTTGGTGACTATGGTCACTTAGCTCGTGACAAGGCCCAGAACCATACATAGGCCGGTGGTAAAGCCCCAAAAGAAATTATTTTCTGTGCCAATAAATAACCCCCACTGGCTAGGGTCCAAATCATAGTCAGACTAGAGTGATGTTCAAAATTCAAACAATACACAAATTTTAAATAAAAACATTTGATATTTTCAGAATAAAGGTTTAGTACAATTTTCAGAATAGTTCCACAAAATATTCAAATAATTTTTATAATAATATTTGATGTTGTTTTATACTTGACCCATATTTTATTTTAAGAGAACATAAATGCTATAAATAAATACTTATAATTTTAAACGACTCAATAGGAATAAAAATGTACCAACAGTGATAGAGAGTTACTTACCTCAAACAGTTAAAATAATATTTCCCAAGCTAATCTCAAATTACCAAGATCCATCTCAATCTCATAAACCTAATAAAATATTACACCACATAAACAATTATTATTTGCACTTATCCTTCGCTTCTTGTAGCAACAATAGAATAAATTACTCCAATTGTCTATTAGGAACCCCTACAATTCAACATCAAAACAAAGCCATCACAGCTTCGGAAATTCTCAACGTATATTATCCTATTGTTGTTCATATACATGTATAAATTTGTAATTGCTTGTAGCCAATCTTGTATCCCACAAACACACCCCAATTAAACTTAACCCATCACATATCAATCTCAAAAATATAAACCACCCAAACGGAATGCAAAATACACTCTAAAATTGAGCAAAATCGAGACCCCCAACATAGACTACATCAATATATTTATTTAATCATATATGCCCACAAAATCATCTATTGATATATTAACACTAAAATCATAGATAGGAATACAATAAAATAAATCTTACCTAGTGAATAAAGCAAAACCACCACTCTATGAATCATCCCTCTTCACTTTGGTTTTGTTTTCTTTTTTCTTTTTCTTTTTTTTTAACTTTTCCAAACCCTTGTTGCCTTCACCTTTAACTTTTCCAATCCCTTGCTGCCTTCACCTTCCGCAGCATCTACGCGGCTCCGTTTTCTTTCTCTCTCTTTTTTTTTCTTTTGTTTTTCTTCTTTTACATAAAGGGTTATTAACCTAATTCCTTAAAATTATTAAATTACCCATACAAATTAATTTAACTGCTACTTTATCCAAAAAATAATTTTACATATAACTTGGGTTTTACAGTAGAAACTGGATATCATACTGGCTGAGTTCAAGAGCCCATTTCGAGACGCACCCAGACGCCTCCGCGCTGCGGAGCGTTGACCGAAGGGGATATTCCGTTGGCACCCCAATGGTATGCCCCTCAAAGTAGTGCATCAGTTTTCTTGTGACCATAACGAGAGCAATGATAAGCTTTTCTAGTGGAAGGTAACGTGTCTCGGCGTCGGCCATAGCTTTGCTCACATAGTAAACTGGTTGCTGCTCCCCTAGTTCTTCCTTTAACAATACGGCGATGAGCGCCCGGTCAGATACTGCCAGATACAAAATGAGTTGATCGCCAGCTGCAGGTGTTACCAAGAGAGAAACTGATCGGAGGTAAGATTTTAGGCCATCCAAAGCAGCCTGGCACTCGGGAGTCCAATCAAATGCTCTACCTTGCCGAAGTGTGTGGAAGAATTATTGGCAGTGATCTGTGGAACGGCTGATAAATCTATTGAGCGCGGCGGCCATCCCCATTAGCTTCTGAACCTCTTTGACTGATCGAGGGGATCCAAGCTCTAGAATTGCCATGATCTGTCTTGGATTGGCTTCGATTCCGCGGTGGTTAACGATGTATCCAAGGAATTTGCTGGAGCCGATGCTGATGCCGAATGCATACTTAGAAGCGTTCAATTTCATTTTGTACTTTCGAAGAATGTCGAATGTTTCTGACAAATCAGCTAGATGGGAGAGATTTTCCTTGGATTTAACCACCATATCATCGATGTATACTTCCATGGTACGGCCGAGCTGTTCCTTGAACATGGAAGTCACTAGTCTTTGATAAGTTGCCTCCGCATTCTTCAGCCCAAAAGGCATAACCTTGTAGCAATAGGTTCCTCTTGGGGTGAGGAATGCGGTTTTTTCTAGATCCTCAGGATGCATGGCAATTTGATGATAGCCTTTGTAGGCGTTCAAGAAGCTCATGCGTTGACGATGTGCCGTTGCGTCTACGAGTTAGTCTATTATGGGCAAGGGAAAACAGTCATTAGGACAAGCTTTGTTCAAGTCCGTAAAATCCACACAGACGCGCTAAGAGCCATTGTTCTTCTTCACGACCACAGTATTGGACAACCATGTAGGATAGGTTACTTCGCGGACCGCCCCGGCGTCAAGTAACCTATCTACTTCTTTAACGACGGTCAACATATGCTCTGCAGCCGACCGCGGCTTCTTTGAACAATTGGCTTGCATTTCGGATCAACATTCAGGCGGTGTTGGGCCATTGATGGATCTACTCCTGGCATTTCGTATGGAGTCCATGCAAACACATCGATATTGCCGAGTAAGAAGGCTATCAATTCCTGCCTTTCGACGCTATCCAAGGAAGCGCCGATCATGACGAACTTGTCAGGATTTCTGTCAATTTTGACCCGATGTAGGGCGTCGGTTGCTTTGTCACTTGGGATCCTCCCAATGTCTTCGAGACTCTCCCTATCCGGTGCCTCAATTGAATGCACTTCCAGTTCCCTCGGTTTCTTTGTAGCTAGAAGATAGCATGCCTACGCCGACTTCTGAGAGCTGCGAATTTGTTCAATACCATACTCAGTCGGAAAACGGAGCAATTGGTGGTAGGTTCTTGGCACGGCTTGCATCGTATGTAACCAAGCTCTATCCATGATTAGATTATATGTCCAATGGAGCTTAACAACCAGAAACTCTACGTCTAGTGATCTGGTTCCGACCCGTACAGGTAGTGTGATCTTGCCCAAAGAGTACTCCCGGTTAGCATTGAAGCCGAATAACGGATAATCAGCTGGAGATAGGTCTGAATCGGTAAAACCAAGTTTGAAAAAAGTTTTGTAATACATTATCTCCGAAGTGCTGCCTCGGTAAATGAGGACACGCTCGATGGTGAATCTGTTTACACGTAGCTCGATGACGAGCGGATCAGTGTAGGGGTGGGTCACTCTAACTAAATCACTGTCATTGAAACTAATCCTTCCAGTGTCGTGTGGCCGTTTCGCTAGCGTCATCGAGCTATGTGTGCTAGACGGCAACTGGATTGTGTGCACCTCAGGTGGTGCCGGCAAGCTGTATATCATATGGATTACACCAAGAAGGGGTGACTCCGGCCGTAAAGCTACTGTATTTGTGGAATTAGTCTTTCGGACGTATTGCGTAAGACGGCCGTCTTGCACCAATTCTTCTAGGTGATCTCGTAAAGAAAAACAACTATCAGTGTCGTGACCATGGCCTATATGATACTCACATCGTTTATCTTGTCTTCTCGCATCAGGGGCCCCTGTCATCTTGGGCGGCCACTTGAAGAACATAAGGTGTTGTATTTTCGACAGAATCTTACTGATCGGCTATGTCAGCTCCGTATATTTCTTGTCCGGACGCCTTGTGCGCCTGTTATCCACTTGGTATTGTTCATTAGCTCATTGTGAACATTGGTCGGTTGATCGGCGCGAATCATGCCTTTTGTCTCGTTTGGGCCGATTCTGCCGTTCGGGGCTTCTTGGAGGCATGAAGCTAATTGGCTGTACAACTCCCGACGTGGCTGTCTCAACGGCTTTACGTCAGGCCTTGACTCGAAGGGCATCATCTTCCACTTTGCCGTATTCTTCAACCATCTTCATTAATGCCCAGACAGTTTTGGGGGGATGCCTGGTCAAATGAACTGCGAAGGGGGCAGTTGGGATACAATCCCATCTTAAAGGCAGTGATGGCCATGGAATCATTGCAAGCATCATCAACCAGATTAAAGCATTCCCAATAGCGGATCGAGTATTCACGAAGAGTTTCTTCCGGTTTAATTTGCATGGCCCGGAGAGAATTGGTTTGCTTCGACTGGACCTTATTGGTGACAAATCTTGCCCTGAATAACTTTTGGAGTTGGTGGAAGCTCTTAATTGATGCCAGTTCCAATTTATAGTACCATCTCACAACTAGTGGTCCCAGACTACTTGGGAATATCCGACACATGAGGGCTTCGTCGTCAGCATGGAGCGTCATCGCTTGCTTGTAATGACGAATGTGATCAGTGGGGTCCGATTTTCCGTCGTAGAGGGTGAATGACGGTGCCTTGAACTTCTTGGGTAGGACAGCCCTGGCAATTCGTCGCACGAATGGGTCGTGTTTATCTTCCTCATCCGAATCATCGCTTTTCCTTCGTCTATGCCGTACATATGGACTTCCCTCAGATGAGCTAGACACATCAGCGCGCCCTTTCTTTCTAGGCTCTGGGGATGGTGAGTCTGAATCACTATCATTATTGCGTTTCTGAAGTTGACGTCAACAACCATCCTTCTTTCCCGAAGGTCGAGCCCGGGTCTTGGCATGAGGCTTGTTGGGATTTTGCCACCTCCAAGGCCAAATCATGGCGTAGGCGATCATTCTTAGCCAACACATTCTCCAACCGCTGTTGACTTTGCTTGGCCTGATCCATAATCGTCTGCATTGTCTCATGCATTAAAGTTGAGGGTGATGTCTGAGCTACTGAGTCAAAGTTCAAGGCACGTCGCGTGGTGATAGTCTCCGGTCCCAGCATGTTTCCTGGAGTGAGGTCGTCTCTTGTAAGAATGGCAACGGGGCGGGGGGGGGGCCGGGGATCACACTCCACGTCCCCGATCCCCGATGGTGGAAATACCCCCGTCCCCGGCCCTGATCCTCGACGGGGAACCCATAACCGCCCCCGTCCCCGTCCCCGTCCCCGTCCCCTAATGGGGATCGGGTTTCCCCGACCCCGAAATTCCCCGACCAAAAAATTAAAAAAAAAAAAATCAACTCTATACATTTACAAGAATTCATCAACAACAAATCTAAAAAATCTACACATTTTCTTGATCTTCATCAACACATTTACAATAGATCATTATTTTACAACAGATCAACAACAAATCAGAGAGAGAGAGAGAGATTTTCAACAACAGATTTTCAACAACAAATCTAACACAGATCAACATGTTCAACTTCATCTTCATCTTCATCATTTTCAGATCTGAAGAACAAAATCAAAAAACATAGAACACAATCAAAAAAACAGAGAGAGAGAGAGAGAGGAGGAGGAGATACCGTGAGAGAGAGAGAGAGAGAGAGAGAGAGAGAGAGAGAGAGACAAGGAGATACCATGAGAGGGAGAGAGGAGGAACTGTGGTGAGGAACGATGGTGAGGGAGGAGCCGTAGCCGACCAAACCAGGGAGGGAGAGAAAGAAAGAGAGAGAAGATGAGATACCATGAGAGAGAGACGATAGCGTGAGAGGGAGAGAAGAAGAAGCCGCCAATGACGGAGAAAGGAGGAGCTGCGGTAAGGAGTGGCGGTGAGGAAGGAGCCGCTGTCGACCAAAACGGTGAAGGAGAGGCGGTGAGGAACGAAGGTCTCAGGTCGTGTGTGTGAGAGAGAGAGGGAGAAGATGTTTGTGTATGGGTGTTCTGCGTCTGCCAACAGCCCAAACCCTACACACACTCACACATATATTATATATAAAAGGGGTAAAATAGTAATTTTACATCAGGGGGTAACCAGGGTGGGGATCGGGGACTTGGTCTGGCCGAGTCCCGGGTTGAAACATGTATCCCCGTCCTTGGCCCGAATATCATCGGGGATTCAATTTTTAATACCATCCCCGGCCCGTTGGGGGTATTTTTCGAGAAATAACCGCTCAATTCGGGGCCGGGGGATCGGGTCCCCGTCGGATCGGGTTCCAATTGCCATCCCTAGTCTCGTCAGTGACTATCGGAGGATCTTCCGCTACGCCCGCCATGGATGTATTTGAGTATTCCCACAGATTGTGCCAATTGTGGTTATATGGTTTGGAAATACTCTTAGATCCTGAAGGACATTCCTCTTCCTCTGATTGCCACCTAAAAAGGGATAACACTCCGGTCAGGGGTGCCAAAATTAGCACTCCGACAGACAAGTCAGTATATGTCTCACGTTTGCTTATGTCTTAAGTTTCTTGGGGTTATTTCTCACATACCTTTCTTTGGCTGTTGTTCCTCTATTTATATATGCTCCTGGTCCTCAGGGTAGGGCCCACTCTTAATTCGTCGTGTGATTGTTCACTCGGCCCTCCTTTTGTCGTATTCCAATTTCCATTCGGCTCATCGCTCAACTGGCTTTATGGTCGATTAGGATACTAGGCATCTAGAACGTACGAGACGGGGCCGAATATAATATATATCTTGATTTTCTAAATATGTACTTGGCCTATCTGTGTCCCCTAATATTCGGCTCCCACACACGGGATGTCCCGTGAGTGCTTGTAACAAAAGAAGAAAAAATACCGAAAATTAGTCTAATCGGTCGATCGGCAAATTTTTTTTTTATTTTTTTTTGTTGCATTTTTTAAGAATTGTTTGGGTGACACCTCATCAATTTAATAAAAAAAAAAAAAGAATAACAAATACAATAAGAAATTAATATTTTAATAAGATTGAGTTAGAGTAGAGAGTTTGATGCAGTGAATATTAAAAAGGTGACTATCTAAAATAGTAAAAGTAGATTTTGAGTTATAATTTGACTCAAAATTTGTTGAGACTGATGCGGATGCTCTTAGTTGTTTTCCTTATTTCTTTAGGTTCATAATAAACAATGATGTACGCCCTAGGGCAAGAGAGCTTTCAATGCTCAATTTCTCATTGAGAATTCGTTTCTTCATTATGAATTTAAGGTGTTCTTCATTTGCTAGAATAATATTTAGCCCTGTGTGATATTTCTGCTATGCCAGGAACCTGTGGTGTATATGTAGTGTGGGTAGGGGTGTTCGCGGTTCGGATTTTGATGGTTTGCGAATTGGTTTGGATCTGTCCGAATCTATGCGGTTTGGTAAAAAGACAACCCGCAACCGCCCGCAATGCAGTTTGCGGTTTGTGCGGATAGTGTTTGCGGATGTGCGGGCGGTTGTGGGCGGTTTGCAGATTGAACTTTTTTTTTCAAAAATTTATTTTTGAACCTTATTTTTTTCCCATTTTGTAAATATTTATTTTGGGCCCTTTTCTTCCCATTTTCTAAAATGCTCCAACATTAATAATTAATGAATTAAAACTTATAAAATTAAAAACACAACAAAATCAATTCGTAACACAAACAAATCATTCAAAATCTTAAATCAAATCATAAACTAACACAAGTAGATATTTTAAAATCCTAAACTAGAACTCCATATTCATTAAGGAATTTAAAATTCAATTATGTAACAATAATAATATAATAAGTATTTATTCAGTTTCAGTTAATATAATACTATTAACAAATGTAATGCTAGAGTAAGTTCAAAGAATAAAGGGTGTTTTATTTTAGGCAAAAACATCTAGGTGGGATATAGAAATGAAATCAACGGTTAAGATAAAATAAAGAAATAAATAAATAAAAGGGCGGACGATTTCTTGCGGGCGCGAGTTAAACCCGCAACCCGCAAACATGCCATATTTCAAATAGCATCCGTCCGCATTGTATTTGCGAAACTGCCTATTTGAATGCAGGTTGGACAGATTGGACGATTTTTACGAATCGGATAAACTATTATCCACCCGAAGTGTGAGTGTCTATGTACAAATATGTGTACATGTTTGTGTGATCGAGAGAAAAAAGGAAAGTGATATCTACAATGAATTTTGGCCCCAAAAGTGAAGTATATACTCTAAATTTGAAATTGATGGGCGTGTACAGCTAGAATAATTGTGATTCATAGATATACTTTTAAATGATGTTTTTTTTTTTTTTTGATACACAATTGTTAGAGAGATAATAACAAGAAATTGACCCATTAAAACTGATGTGTCAACTGTTAATTGAGCGTCTATATAGATCAATCGAATTGCATTAATCTCAGTTCACAAATTTCCTCATCATATTGCAACTTTTTTTTTTTTTCCTTTTCCTCCTTAAATAAAAAAATAAATAAATAAATAAATAAATAAAAAACTCAGGACACGACCAATTTCAAATTAGATTAGACACCTAATAGCAGCCAAGCGATAACACGAAGAAGCTACAGTTTTGAAGTTATTTAATCATCTTAGGGCTAAATCTCTTGATTGGATGTGTAAGAATTTTGCCCTCGGTAGACTAGCAGCAAAGCCCATTCATTCGAAAGATTAATCAGTATTTTTGGAGCATCGTCAAGCCAACTTGATTGTTGTATATTAGTGAGAGAAATTATTTAGTCTTTTCAAAACATCATGATGTTGTGATTGTGTATTCGATCAATGATGTTTTATAAAATTTTCAAATTATTTTTATCTTTTTCAATTTAGGCCTCGTTTAGAAATATATTATTTTATTAATTTTTTGTTTTTTTACGA